CCAGGAGTTAACAACAGTTAACATTAAATGTTTGGGTGATCTCTGACCCAAAAGCAGAGGAGTTGGAGAAAGATGATTAATACACATAGATAAGCTAGATTACTTTATTAGTAACAATATTTTTGCTGCAGATTATGTAAAAAGGATGCAGGAAAAGTCTCCATTTTAAAGAACTCTTAGGACTTAAGCTAAGTTTCAACTTTTCATAGAGCATACCCAAGTCCTCCAGTATCTTCCTCCATCTTGTTCTCACTTCTCGTCTTGCTTGTCTCAAGGTGTAAATTTCATAGTTGAGTTTCTGCCATTCCTAGATGTTGATGAAAAAGAATTATGACGAGAAGACACACAGCCAGCAAACCAATTATACTTTGACTGCAGAGATTTATGTTGGATTCTCTTTAGAACAACAAGTTGTTTAGAGTTTTTTTATACAAGAGCCTGAGAAAACCATTTGAGAGGAATATACCCATACATTTTTTATACAGACATACAACAACATTTTTAGTATAAAAATATTCGTAGTGCACATTTCTGAATAAATTGTACTGCAGCAAATAAATAAAAATCAAAAATTATTTTAGAAACAGGGCCATGGTAGCTCAGTGAAGCAATACCACCACACATCTGGGAAAGAGAGGCAAAGCAAAGGTGATAATTATGGGTGTCTCTGAACCCTGGCACCAGAGACACACTCTTAGAGTCTTCTACTGGGTTAATCGGATATCAACACCCAGCCCCTTTGTAAGCACTGCCCTACAAAAGAGATCTCCCACCCAACAGCGCATGCATAGTCCTTTCACCTATGCACAGAAACAGAACTGGCAAAGCTGTATCTGGTCAATTCACAGTCCTGCAATTTGACACCAACCAAGGTAAAGGGGGCATTGTACCAATGAACAGGGGCACTTTCCCACTAAATTGTCCTGATACATTTTCATTCATTATAGTGTTGAGGGTCAACCATATACTGAATAAAGATGTATCTGGACTATTAAACAGAGTGTGGTGCTTCAATTCACAATCCTGCAGTTTGACTCCACAAACCAAGGAAAGGAGGCATTTTACCACTGACCACCAAAATAGGGGGCATTTCCCCATTGACCACCAACATTAGAGGGCATTACACCACTGAACAGTAAGGTAAAGGTCACCACACTACCATTCTGCATGGTGCATATTACTGACCACTGCGGTCATTGAGCTGTGCTGTATGTTACAGACATGGTGAATTATACCCAAACACATCCACTGCAGCCTATGTGGTTTCTCTCACATAAAAAAAGACCACCAGCCACATTCAAAAATCAAATGAAGAGAGAGAGGAAATCTTATAGGACAGACTTCAAGAAGCTGTCCCAATCCCATACAGGAGGGACTCTTTGGTATCTGGCTGCTGTGCATTACATAGAATATAAATACAATAAGTGGATGTTAGCACAACTGCAATATATTCTAGATAGCCTGAATTTCTTTTTTTGCCATCAGCACTGCTTTAGCCTCTTGTTCGCAAAACTGGTTTGCAATATAGCAAAATTAAGAAATTATAGCATGAGACTAAAACGCCATTTGCAAAGTAATTACAAATTAGTCTTCTAAATCATACTTCATAAGCTCTTCAAGCTTCCTCCTAAAACATTTCTTTATCCTACTTTATCTGAAAGTGGCAACATGCAATAAGATGTACTCTGTAGTAGATGTAAATGATAAGCCACATCATCTGTTCTGCATAGCAAAGATAGCTTTTACAGTCATACTTCTAAATGGGATGAGTAGCTGTTCATCTAAAACTAGTGAGCCCTTCTGCCTTGCCCGCACTGGGGTCCCTGGTTCGAATCCCGGCCAGGTCACTATCTGCAATGAGTTTGCATGTTCTCCCTGTGCTTGTGTGGGTTTCCTTGGGGTACTCCGGTTTCCCACCACACTCCAAAGACATGCTGGTAGGTTAATGGTCTTCTGTCTAAATTGGCCCTGTATGTATGCATGCATGCAAGTTAGGGATGTGATTGCGCAATGTGTAAAGTAGGGATGCACTGAAATTTCAGCCGCCAAAACATATCGGCCAAAGTGGCATTTTTGGCAAGATGCCAAAAGTGCCATCTTTTGGCTGAAATAGCAGTGCATCCCTGGTGTCTCTCCTCCCCGCTGGGCGCTGGTCTGTGTCCCAGCAGGTCTGAGAGAAACGGTCAGAGGAGGCCGAGTGGTGTAGGGGCGTCTCTCCTCCTCGCTCCTGTGAAAGATTAGGAAAGTGGTGTGGGGGCGGAGACAGATGTCATTGCTGTAACAGGAGGCTGAGCTCTCCTCCCACACCGCCCTGTTCAGCCTCCTGTGACAGATCGGGACACCGGCAGTGTGTGGGCAGAGACAACTGGCAGCTGTCACAGAACGCCGGGCCGGCAGTGCAGGGGATGAGTCACCTGTCAGAAGAGATCCAGCTCTCCTTCCCGCACCGCTCGCTCAGCCCCCTGTGACAGCCGATCCAGGATTGCTGAGTGTTTGTAAATAATTGGACAGAGTATGTTTACTGTGTCCCCAATTATGAATGAATGGGAGTGATCTACACCACTTCCTGTTCATTCATGATTGTGGACATGGTAAACATACTATCTCCACAAGTTATGAATGAACAGGAACACTCAGTATAGAGGATTCCTGTTCATTTATAACAAGGATTGCAGAAAAATAGATTGAGAACTCTGTGTCCTTATCTCTTTTTCTATTTAAAAAAAGGGAAATATCAGGGGTCTGTTTAGATACCTAATATTTCCCCAGAGCCCCCCGACTGTAAAAAGGTAAAAAATAAAAATATTTCGGTTTCGTTTTGAAAATTTAATTTCGGTGCAACTCTAGTGTAAATTGTCAGCGCTATATACAGTAAATACCTGTAATAAATAAATACATCTTTAAAGAGCTGCTGTGCAAACAACAACAAAACCAACTGGCATTTCATGGTCTATGACAGGGGGTGTTGTGGAACTACAAGTCCCATAAGGCATTGCAAGACTGACAGCCACAGGCAAGATTTGCAGAGGCATAATAGGATATGTAGTTTCACCACAGCTGGAGGGCCAAAGATACACTGAAATTTTCTACACGACATAGGCGATATCTATGCCTCATCTGGCGCATACTATTTTTAGGAAACAACTGTTTCATAGGGTAGCAGGAATCAGAGAATGCAAATCTATGTTTGGAGAGAGATCGTCAGAAACATGTAAGCATGATAAATACAGGAGCACTTTGAGACTCAGGTGATGAGCATAAAGCTGAGCTTAGGGATAACAAATTCCTTCCAGATCCTCTAGCCAGTTCACATCTCATTAAGCAGAGCAGCCACTAACCCTCATGGATTGGAGTTAAAGTGTTAGAATTGTTATATAAGAATCTTTGAAAACAAAGAAGTCACAGAACTTTGTGGCTTAATGGAATACTTCCCTAATAGCCAGAATTAAGCCACATCCTCTAACAATTTGACTCTCAGTTCAACGCAATGTGTAGAGCAAAATACTAGGCAAACAAAACTAACTACTCATATGTTTGCTGTGTTACCTGCAAAGGGTGTTTTCTTTCTGTACAGCCAGTCCTGCAATGTACACACCTCCGTCACACGGAAAAGCCAGAGCATTAATTGTACCATTTCCTGGTTCAGTTCTACTGTCCCACCTCAACCTAACTGCTCAACCATCACTTTCTCAAAACAATTCATCCCCAGACAGCTACCTCCTCATGTATCACTTGTCCCTCCCTTTTAGATTGTAAGCCCTAACGGGCAGGGCCCTCCTTACCATCTTGTCTTGAATTGTAGTGTGATTATAAAGGTCTTCCTAATATTGTAAATCGCTGCGCAAACTGTTGGCACTATATAAATCCTGTATAATAATACTACCAGTAGTCAAAGCTAAGGGAGGGAGTAGGGGCATGTGCCCCAGGTGCTGCATTAGAAAGGTAGGGCAGGGTAAGCAACCGACCGGGGTGGACCTACCGAACCAGGGCCCGAGGCTGGGGGCCCAGTGACAATATTCCAGTCCACTGTGAACTCAAATAATAGAACATGCAGCATTTTTTGTGTTCGCAGTGGACTAGAACACAGGCAATGTTTTGCCACGCGTCCAATCGCACAGCGGGCGGCGGGCTGGGGTGTGTGTGTGTGTGTGTGTGTGTGTGTGTGTGTGTGTGTGTGTGTGTATGCGGTGCCATTGACTTCAATGCACCGCTATTGCCCCCTCCCGCCCCAGAACGAAGGGGGAAGTTTAGTGAGCGATTGCCTTTCTTCCAACAGCTACCGCTCTGGAACGCATCGCAATTGGTGTTAATGGGCCATTAGTTAGGGTTTACATATACTTTATATACCTTTAATACAAAACTCCAGGCAAACAATGAAATAATTATTTGCCTGGAGTTTTACATCAAAGCAATACAACACACAACAGTTTTATATTTATTTTTTGTTCAGAACTAGATGTAACCAATTGCAGGAGACCTAGAAGGATCTTGTCAATGGGACCTTGGGTACAGATATTTAAAAAAAAGTATCAGTAAAATAAACTCTTCCCAATACTTAGAGGGGACGTGCCATACTGCAGCTGTCACATGCTGGCTCTATAGATCGGGAGCTGAGCGTTCACAAACCACTGATAACTCAGCTCATGGTCTTCTCTCTGAAGAGACATTAGTATATGTGCTCCTCTGACCCAAAAGAGGACTAAAGCAAAAAAAGAAGAAGAAAAAAAAAAGGGTTTGGCTTTAGTTCACTTTTGAAGAACAACTTGCATCTGTTGCAAGAAACAATTTCAATAAAACCTGTCTCCAGTTGAAACTTTTAAAACTAATCTCATGGAGCATCAGACACCACCCAGTGCATGCAGACATTGGCAGTAATCAATTCCTGCACAACCCCCCTGAGATGCTGCAGGATCTGGGGGGGGCTTTGCCGGGTCTCAGGGGGGATTTGCAGGATTCAAAGGGGGCTCTGCAGCCTGCAAAGCCCACCACAGATCCTGCAGAGCCCACCTGAGATCCTACAGGGTCTCAGCAGGATCGGTGGAGGGCTTTGCTGGGTCCCAAGGGGGCTTTGCAGGATCTGGGGTGAGATCTGCGATGTCTATGGTGGACTGCAGGGTCTCGGGGGCTGTGCAGGATCTGTGAAGGGCTCAGCCGGGTCTCAGGGGGGCTTTGCAGGATCTGTGGCGGGCTCTGCAGGGTCTATGGTGGGCTTAGCAGCCGGGGACCCCGCAGAGCCCACCAAAGATCCTGTAGAGACCGCCACAGATCCTGTAGAGACCACCACAGAGCCCACCTGAGACCACAGCCAGGTGGGGTAAATTTAGTGTATGGGGGGGCGCCCGAGTTTTGTCTTGCCTAGGGCAGCCCCAAACCTAAATACACCACTGCATCTACCTGGTTTTTATGAAAGTTAAATCACAGACAACCCAAAGCTACATTTCACAATGCAGAGCTCTGGCAACAAATTGCCGGGAATTTATCAAAACTGGAACAGACAAAAACTGGAGCAGCTGTGCATGGCAACCAATCAGCTTCTCTCTTCAGTTTTTTCGCTTAGGATTTGAAAATTTGATTGTTTGCCATGCACAGCTGCTCTAGATTTTGTCTACTCCAGTTTTGAGAAATTCCCTTCATTGTTTTTATGGGATTTAAATGGGCGTGGCAGTGCTGTTTTTCTGAAAGGTTTGCATGCCACATTTTGGGAACTGTAGACCATACTTCAACACCATTTAAGTCTTTTGACACCACGTGGTGCCTATAACGCTCTAAAGATGGTTTTATCCGTAACGCATGCCAGGTTTACTTCAACTAGAAACAAGAAAACCATAAGCTGGCTGAACTACTTATGCGTGTCATCTTCAAGACATTACAAATTCACAAACCAACTGTATTTATTATACTCAGCTATTTATAATGAAAAGCTGGAAGCTAATAAATAACTGGTGGTATCTCTGCATAGTAGGGACATTTGACTTCACTCACTTCAGAGTCTTTCTCCAGTTGGGACCTAGTCTGAATCCAAGAGTGCAGCATGCGATCATCCACAGCCTCCGTGTGAGACAGGTCATGGGGCGAGCTCCACAGGTTTCTCTCATCATCGTGGACTATACTCGTGGAGTAGGTCTGGATATTATTGTTGTTATTAATAAAAGGAACAAAAAAAAAAAAAAAATGAAAAAGTTAAAAGTATCCCATGGGAAAATAAATTACGTGGGTGTGCTTATATCATTATTGTGCTACAACATGCTACTGTAGTTCAGGAGCAGAAATTTATGGCAAGTGTTTAGCCACAGCGGACATTTGCACACTAAACATATTGAGGGGAATTTATCAAAGCCGGAGCAGACAAAATCTGGAGCAGCCGTGCATGGCAACCAATCAGCTTCTCTCTTTCATTTTCAAATCCTAACTGAACAAACTGAAGAGAGAAGCTGATTGGTTGTCATGCACAGCTGCTCCAGATTTTGTCACTCCAGTTTTGATAAATTCCCACCATTGAATCTGCTGGCCTAGCTCTGTAAAATGGGAAGACAAATGTACATATGGGGCCTGAACTTGGTGTAAAACTTTAAGACATGGTCTGAATGTGTATCCGGTACATAAAGATGCCCTTTTATTTGGGGGCCTAGTCACTTCCTATAGTAAAATTGTATAGATTGTATGTAGAATCTTTTTTTTTGGTAAAGATGTGAAAGAGGTTAGATATAAAAGGTGTGGGTTATAATTGGATAGTGAAATCTATAGATTTTTTTTTTTTAAATCTGGATCGGTAAACACAATAAAGCAATTACATTTATTGGCTGAAACATCATTTGCTCTAAGAGAACCCAAGGGATATAAACTGGACAAATATGCTATTTCAGTAACAGGGAGATAAAGGTTGCCTTTTGATAACACCAAAATCAGATTAGAGGGGTTTAGACCCACCTCCATGAGTCGTCTTAGTTAGAAGTTCTCTTTAACCCCTTGAGTACCAGCCTGTAATACCCCTTCCATTTTTCGGTTTGCAGTGCTGTGATAGGTTGACTGACAACACTATAGCCATATTACATTTTATACATTCTGCTTTGGACATCTTTCTTTCGATGGCATTTAATAATAAATCACTGGAAAAGAAGAAGGCAAAAATATATGTTTCCCTTACTTTCTGCTATAAAGCATGTGAAATTAAAATGCCAGGACTGTATAAATCCCCCCCCCCCTGAAAAAAAAGTCCTTTTTGGAAAGTCGACACCCTAAGGTGATCTATTTTTTTGCCAAAATGTTTTGGAAATGAAGAACGATGCCGGTATAAGTGCACTACATACCTTAAAGTGACATTAAACCCTCAGATTTTTTAACATAAACCAATACTGTAATGTGTGCCTTACTGTAATCCATGGTAGTTTCCCTTCTCTTAGCTGCTCTTCCTTTTAAATCCTCATGTCTTCTCATGCTTGGGGAGAACTTCCCTTTGCAGCTGGCTGCCTCTTCCTGTAGTGTTGGCTCAGGTTACAAACCTGTACAAACCTATACACAGACACCATGTAGCCATTCCAGAGACAAGGCAGTCTGCTGCAAAACAGAAGTTCTGCCCAGCATGAGAACAGATAAAGAATTAAAAGGAAGAGCAGCAAAGAGAAGGGAAACAACCATGGATTACAGTAAGGCGCACATTACAGTATTGTTTTATGTTAAAAAATCTGAAGGTTTAATGTCACACACGGGGAGGTGAAAGGGTTAATGTACAGGTCACATACAGCTGGAGGCTGGAGAGGAAAGGGTTAATGTACAGATGTGCAGGATAAGGGAGATGATGGGGTTAGTATACAGGTCAATGCAGAGATGGACTGAAGAGGACATATACGGGAGAGGTAAAAGGATTATATTGATCCACAACTGCTGCTGATCTGATTAATTCATTCATTCCTCTTTCCACCCCTTAAGTCATTGTAAGAGGAAGGGGCGGCCTTACCAGTGTAAACACTGCATGGTTTACATTTGTGATGGCTATAATTGCTCATCACAGCTATTAAAAAGCCACTCTGAGACACTTGGTTTACAGGTACTGTGTGCAGAGCTGATCTCAGTCATTAACAGATGGTTAATTCTGCTGTGCCGTTTACAAATGTCATGGCAGAAATAAGCATCCACCACTCTGTTTAAAGACGTGTGGCGGTAGGTAAGTGGTTAATCTCGCAGCAGCTTCCGATTCCAGATAACATGTAACCAATTTTAGGTTCAAACTCTGTGGTTTCTTTTTTTGAAATATGAACTGGGAGTGATCTAAAACAAATTCTTAGTTAAGATTTTTTATAGCTTAATTAACTGAGCTATACCCATCCATATTAACCCTTATTTCCAGTAGTGAGGGACAATAAATCCTGGAGGGTCACGTGGTTGTAAGAATGATTGTTATTGCCAGTTATAGCCCAATAGTGAATCAAGCGTAATGTATCTTGATCCCCGCACTGCAAGAGTTTTGGTCTTGGGCTGTAAATAAAAGGTATACTCACCTGATCCTCGGAAGCAGCTTGCTCTTAGCTTGGTCCCTGGAGCATCTGTCCCCCCTCCTCTGCAGCGGTCGAAGGTCCCAGAGTCATCATGTTCTACACTGTATATAGAATATGAAGGCACCAAAGGACATACCATTGCTGCAGCGGAGGAGACAGGCATAAGGGAGCGCTGCAACAGAGTATAACTTTGTTATTTTTAGCCCTAGACCAAAACGAGCAGTTGACCCTTGCAGTGCAGAGGTAGCTCCACTACAAGGGTCAGTTAAAAAAACTACCCGAGTTCTTCTTTAAAAAATAAGGTTACTACGTAGATGCCAACTGTCTTGATTTCTGGGGTAATCCCGCATTTTGGACCTCAGTCCTGATGATGCTGTGTTGAGTGGAAAATCCTGGGTTTACATGGTCACCGTTTCAACGGGTTTCATGGCTCTATAGACATACCTGGAGACGCTGCTAGATCTCAGCATGTGTCTCTCCACACCCTCCTGAGGAAGTGGCCAGCTAGAGCCACAAAACGTGTTGAGATGGTGTTTTTTTTACATCCATCATCCAACATATACCTACTAGTTGAAGAACCACCTAGATGCTCATGTTTTTGTTACTGGGCGCCTCTGCTATCACTGAGTTTTGAGGTAACCTTTTGTCGTGCCAACCACAATATTTAAAACCAGTACTGTACCGGGTAAAACTGTACATATAGGAGGGTCAGGGTAAGCCATTTTGCTCTGAAAGCAGCTGTGTTTGACCTTTTTCTGAGCCTGCTTTGTTCCTGCTGCTTTTATCCATCTTAGCCCTGTATTCCTGTATTGCGTACAAAAGCATTGGAAATTAATCTCAAAAGGTTTAATGCGCACTTGATTCAGACTCAAAAGCAACTGAAATATTCCACGCATGGAAGGAATATGACATGCATCGGAGATGCTTTAAAGTTGCTTTGTTTGCATTCCCTTTGACATTAAAAGAGGGGAAAAAAACGACAGGAACGACACACCAAAATAGGAAATGCTGAGGGTACAAAAATGCATTGCAAAACCATGCTCAGCAAAGAATAACTTTAACACATTACTGGAATGTAAAAAGTTATTTTCACTCTTTTTAAAATCTGCAACTTTCATTATAATAACACCAAGGGATCCTTCAATGAAGGTCTTTGTTTACGTACTTCCTCTTATGAGTTTATATAACTGTCTACTAATTGTGCTGCTGCGTTGTCACTAATGTCCCTGAAGACTACAAGTGGCCTTGCTGATGTTCATTGCAGGGGTATGTTCCATCAATGTCACTATCAGGAAGCCGATCCAGAGGGATGATATGCAGAGGACACTGCAAGTGCATGTAGCAAGGAAGGGGCTAAAAGGCTGGATGTGATTAGAAGTTTGTCAGAAGCAAAACACAATCCCATGTGTACAAATGCAAACTCAATGGAGATTTAATAGTCCCTTTAAAAGCAAGTTACACTTATCACATGGTCACTGAAAAGAAAGTGCAGAGCAGGCACCCTCCTGGGGGCTAAATAGCAGCTTCAGTTCTCCTGCATTGTCCCCTGATCTAATGCTAGAGGCCCAATGCTACTATACAAGCCTTTGACTAGTCTAAAAGTTTATATTTGCATAAGGCTACAATGCCTACCACCCTTCTCTTTATGCAACACTGCTAGAGCCAAGCACTTGGTTGGTAATGTACAAAAAATTACCTTATGGAAGGAGAGGGGGAGCGTACTGAGAAACCCCATTCCTAAGTTCTAAAGAGTGTCAGGAAGATACTCCAACATTTAGAACAGGTAGCACAGACATCCAGTCCAATCACCACGTAATTGGATGAAGCTTGGATGTGCTACCCGTGTGGATTTAAATGCTGGGGTATGTTCCTGCACAGTCCAATTGAATGTGTCTAACTACTACTTACTATACCCTGATCTAGATAAAAAGGAGAACCCTCAGACAATAAACCATTATTATTAGGCACCATTATTTCATATGAACAAAATTAAATCACTGTGTTCCAGATGCTTCAAAATTCTTTAAACATGTGAGAAGCAATACAAAAATGCCATGCAAATTGTATATCAAGTGGATGTTTGCATATCAGACAGCTCAGGCCTTAAAAAAGTAGCATTACATTGTCACATTTCATTGAGGTTCTCCGCCGGTCTCCATCAAACAGTAAAATACAACTACAGCTTCTTCTTAGACTTGTGTGGAAACATGCATTAAGATCATGAGAGGGCCACACTTATTAAAAGTCAGTAGCATCACAAGGGGGGGGGATGCGGCCCGCACCCGGGCTACACCATTGCAGGGGTGACACCAAAATGACTGACATGAAACACCACCTCTAAAAAGTCAGGCACTCGCTCATGGACCGAGAGCCAGACAGTGTCAGGAGAGAAGAGGGGACCCGGCGGCATACTTCATCCCTCCAGGTGAACGTCCTCTCCTCTCTCCACTGGCGTCCATCACCAAAATGGCCACCGGCAGGCGTCAATCAGATGGCTGCACACGCGCGATGACGACATGGCGGGGTGTCACCCGGTCTGGAGACCGGGTGACGCCCGGCTTCGGGACGCAACTGTTAAATAGTGCTACATCCTGTGAAACACATTTTAACTTTATTATAGCGACACACATCTAATTTATTACCTCTTAGTTTCATTAATTATATTCTGTATGTGTAATTAGCTCTGTGTAAATAAATATTCTTATGTACTCAGAATGTACAGTAGAATCAGTTTAAAGGAGAAGCTGTAGTTAGAAATTAAAGTGTATTATAAGTAAAAATGTATCATATTACAGCTTACCAATCCTTAGTTGTTGTGGCTGCATTAGAGACCACTCACGCAGGGATTCCCTCCTCCTCTCTCTGTTCCTCTAGCACTCATTGGAGGGACAGACAGGGGAGGGGGCTGGCACAGCTGGCTCTAGAGAGGCAGATCCAGCTGTCAATCAGGCAGTGGGGTGGATTCCATCAATATTGTCAGGATCTTTCCCGAATGCAGTACGGCTCTACACTGTTAGCATATAGCTGTCAGTAGCATGCTATATGCTGACTTTGGGTCACAGGATTACATTAGTAAAAGTACTCGTGACCCAAAAGAAGTAAAACCCCCAAAAAAGTTTTCGCTTTGCTTTCCTTTTAAAGCACAAAATATCCAAAGCTGGGCTGCATAGCTGTGGAAAAAGGACAGGCAGCTCTAGCCATATAGTAGTACACTGGGTCTTAAAAGCTGATTGATTGTGTACAGGCAGTGGAACTTCTGTCGGTCAGTACAGTGCAGCCAATGGAGGGGTGCCCCCCAAGCTATGAATTAAGCAACATTCATCTTCAACTTATGTCAACATATCTGGACATGAACTGCTCTTGCTGAGCATTGTCCATTTTAAATACTACTGCTGTCAGCTATTTTTAGAGTGCAATGAACTGAATGTCAGGACAACTCAAAATAGAAGAAATATATTACTGGAAATGAAGCAAAGATTTGTGGACATGTTTATAAGGGGTGACAGGCTGTCTTGTGTCTTATCTCTCACTCAAGTAGGATGACAGGAAAAAAACTAAAATTAAGAAACTGTCATTTTAACACATGGGATAAATATGTTTATATAGCCTGAGGTGTGCAGGACTGTGCAGTCACAAAGACATGCGGTCAAAGGAATAGAGTCTTGAAGCTAAACCTCTGAATACCAGGCAGACAAATTTGAACTTTATTGTATGTGATAATAGGAAATATCATTGCAGGGTATTGAAGAGGGACAGAATGCTGGAAGCGGTGTCCAAAAAAAAGGCATGCAGATTGCAAAAGGCTAGTCATTAGTATTGTCTATAGTCTTCCCTGATTTTTCCCCGTTACTAACTTGCAGTCTTCTGTGTGGAAGCAGCCATCCTGGCAGAGGCAGGGATTTGCTTCCTGATGTCTGTGAGCCTCCAGCAAGTAGAACAATAGTATCACCACCAAACAGTAGTGCATGCCGAAATGCATGTGTGTGTTTAACATAAGTTGTACGCAAGAACTTTCAGGACAAATGCATTACACAAATACACAATAGTGCATAAATATTTAAAGGGGAACTCTCAGGAACAATTGTTTGTTTTGTGTAGAAGAGCACAAGCCATAGAAGTTACCTCTAATGATGATTACCTAATGCTCAATCTCTGCTGGTAACTGTATAAATCCTGTATTAGATGATGACGGATATTACTCATAGCTTTCTCTTTCTGGCCATGCGACTGAGAGTTCCTGCTTTAGTACAGTGCTTCACAGAATGCACCCCTTCTTTCCCCACGTCTAGTCACAGAATGTGCCCCTCCTCTCTTCACAGAATGCCCCCCTTCACTCCACTTGTAGTAATTGATCCACCGCACTCCAGACCAGAATCCCGTAGAACAAGTGGGTGCTGGTATGACCTGCGGATGGCACTATGTTTGCCTAGCGTCTTAATAAAAAGGATGTTTAGCACATTTGGAGTGCTGATGACTTTCAATATTCCTCCTATCCCCTTATCGATTCACAGAATGCCTTGCATTCTGGGGTAAGGAGCACAAGCCTTTTTGTGAATAAATGAGGGGAGAGGAGGGGGTAGCTACATGGCACTATCTCTATACTTTATGGTGCTGGAACGTTATGTTACCATGATGTAAAAAGAACACTCTAGGTAATATTCAGCATCACTGAAGATAGAATTGGTAGAGTAACCAGCCGAAACCAAAACATTATATGACTTGTGCTGTTCCCCCAAAAAAGTTTTTGCCTGGAGTTCCACTTTAAAATGCCCAATTGCAAAGGGTTTTTGCATGTAAAAAGTATTAGAATTTTGTCTTTTAGGTTTGGCAAAAGGATTACCTACACAGGTGAAGCATTTCAGCTGCAGTAATGCTACACTGAACCCCACAAGCAGTGTTCCTGTGCAGTGCCTCCTGCGTACATAGCTTTTGATATTTATAGCTGAATGCAATGTAACAGAGTTCAATCGGCAACATCCTACCAAATATCAATAGGGGTGATACAATAGGGCATTTGCTACACATTTCTGGCCGTCTTTATGTAGTCGGATGCCTTGTGACTAATTCTAAGACATTTTCATTGTTAGTAGTTCCGATCTGCAACACTTTTTCTGTAAAGTGCTATTGTTGCAAGACATTCATAAAGGAATACGAACATACAGTATTGGTGATAAGGAAAGTGGAGGTAAATAAGACTTGTTGCCTGTTGGAAGTTGTTGATTGTGTCTCATGAGTAGTTATTGTGTTGTATCTTTAGGACAACTCTGCAGCAAAATCTGTCTTTTAGGTTACATTCACACTAGGTGCAATTAGATGCGTTTATACGTATTTTCTAAAACACACATATATGCATCTAATGATTTCCAAAGGGTCTATTCACACATTGCGTTTAGATGCTTTTATCTGCAGTCAGTTTAGCTGCGTTTAGAAAAAAAAAATAGAAGTCAGGTGCTTCCAGGAATCAAGTTTACCTTCTAAATGCACCAAAACGCATGTCCACGCAAGATCATTTATTTGCTGAAATCTCATTGGCTACTTTAATGGACTGTTTCAGTGGACAAAGGACAGATGCATTTAAACGCATATGCATGAAAGCGCACTTCATTTTAAGCATCTAGAAGCATAAACAAAGCATCTAGCCTGACAGATTTTGCAGACAGAGATCTGCATAAAAACGCAAGTGTGAATTAAGATTGTCTGGAAATTATATCTGATACAAATGAATTACTCTCCCAATGTCTCCCAATAGCTTCTCACTTCTCAGGAGAGATGCTCGAGATAATTCTGTGAGAGCTATGACAGATCCATATATACCATACCGAAATGTAGAGGAATCTGTCGCAAGTTCCGCCATTTATCGCACCACCGAGATAGAGTAGTACAGAGTATCTAGGACACTTTTTATGAATTCCAAGGGTTGGGTTTAGACAATAAAGTGCAATGCCCAGGCCAACGTGCAACGTGCAGTTGCAGCTTGAATGTCTAAGTGCTACATCGCTCGACATGGGGTATCTCAATGTTTTTAATGGCCCCTGTTCACACCTAAACATTCTGTCACTTGCACCAAAACGCCTGTACCCCAAAAAAGTACATGAGCTTCTTTTGAAGCAGAGTCAAGCATTTTGGACCAGTAGACTTTAATGGAAGGACATGAAAAATGCCTACTGTGCGTTTAAGAATTTTTTTGCCTGTTAAACTAACTTTGCATTGGCTAAAAATATAAAAATGCTTAAGCCGGAAATGCTTGCAAAAATGCTTGTTCAAACACCCAGAGACACTCAGCTTAAGTGTGAATGGGGTCTGAATTATGCAAGCCACACTAATATAGTCTACGTTGGTGCATTATACATAGCTAGACATTGTTAGTGCTCTTACTTTGCATTATGTCCTTTCTATTGTGAGTTCTTATGTTCCAGAAACAAAATGTCCTGAAGCAAAGGTGAGGTCTGAGCGCTCTACATACCACAAGTAATAGGTTATAAAACCTGTCATACAAAATAACATATTTTTCAAGTCTCTTTGCAGGTAAAATACTTTTGCACAAGCTTATTGACAGCCCCAGGGTTAGGAGAAATGCAATTCTACTGTGTTTTATTACAAAGTCAAAACGGCTACTTACGTGACTAAAGGCTGCTTCTCGTTTTTTGGGTGGTCAATGCACCCCAGCCTGACGCAACACAGGGCACACAGCCAGTCCTTCAGACCCATGGATTCTAGTGCAAGACAAGAGACATGGGATTCAGCAGGCTGAAGACTCACCTTCCTCTCCCTTCCACAGTCACAGAATATGAGCAATGTGATGAGCGTGCACAAATTCAGACACTCAGGTAGCATGCACAGTGCAATATTATGTTTCCAGCTCCGGCACCGAGTAAAGAATTCTCTTGGATAATATAAAGCTGAGAGGAAAAGCTAGTAAAAAGCTTGAGAGCTCTGGCATGTGGCTTAGTAACTCTGAACCTGTCCAACAATCAACCATTTCTAAATGCTAATTGCTTATTAGCCTTTGTGTGGAAGGTTTTGTAAGAGGCAGAGCCGAGTGCAACCTATACAAAACAATGCTGAGTGGCTTGTCAGCTTGCCCATCAAACCAGTTGTGTAACTGCAAACTAGTTGTGCAACTTTAATGTAGATGATCATTTGGAAATACATTGAAAACGCTCAAAATGTTCTACGATTGATATTCAGTGGATTCAATCAACCACATGGGATAACTTTCCTTGATACTTAGGCCATTGTATCTGAACATGTTGTTTTCTAACTGCACCAGGTTTTGATAACCAGCTACTCTATAAAGAAAGTCCTATTTATGTGCATACTACATTTTATTTTTCAACAACTCAGATAAGGTAAAGCTAAATAAACAGGTGAAATACATATATGAAAGCTGTTTTACCTGCCAAAAGAATTTGTATTCCGGTCCATTAGTAATGATCCTTGGCTTGGTGCACTGCAAACCCAGTTCATCTGAATATGCCCAAGCCTGCTCAAAACTGTAACCACCACTCCACCCTCCTGGCCCAATCAGTTGCAGCAGGGCATTCCCTGCCCCTTTCTGGCGTATAGCTGCGTGGAGAAGAATACACCTCTTTGCAACTCATTGGGTCAGGAGGAGGGATGGCAGTCCCAGTTTTGAGTGATGAGCAGGTGTTTGGTGCAAACCCAGTTTGCCTGAGTTCACCCAAGCCTATGCAAAACTGTGACTGACCCCCTGCCCCCCCAATCAGCATTGCTCGCCCCACAACTACACATCACAAAGCTGCACGGGTTTGGACTGGGTTTGCATGAAGTCCCTGCGCATCACTACTTTCCAGCCTGTGATAGCAGCCTCTATATTTACTTAGTCCAGGATATTGTGAAATTAAATATATGTTAGAAAAATAGAAACCCTTTGGTTCATAGACATGTGAAATCTCGTGGCAAAAAAAAACAAAACCTTGCATAATGCTCCTTGCAGCTCTTTTTTGTATGTATGTATACATACATATACTTACCCCTCTGGTAGCATTGCTGGCCACCAGGTGGCAACAGTGGCTTCCAGCAGCACTGAGGTCACCTCTTTGTCCTGCTCCTCCCACTGGCTAAATCTAAGTGCAATGTACATGAATCACGCATGCTGCACTTTGCTTGTGTTAACACCTCCAGAATGAATGACATTTCCGGAGATGTAAATGTTCCAGTAATGACCTGGAAACCAGATAACAAATTACGGTATTGCTCGGTCAATTCCGGCAAGTTCCCATCTCTGCGTATGAACGTTCATACAAAAATCTATTAGTTATTGGCCAGCTTTAAAGTCTTGAAGGGACAAACAAGGACAAGACCTGGCTGCAAGTCATACTGTTTAATCAGCAAGTTCCACTGATCCTCAGACAATGCTTGGTTCTGCTGCAGCAAATTTATATGAACACAAAGTCCTTGGTGCTCTGTTGCAATATCAAACTTGCAAGATACCACTAAGGACTTGTTGTGTTCAGTGGCTCAAAGTATTGGGGCCAGTGATTCAACAAAAGGTCCAGGTAACCAGCTGAGGCATGTCATCTATAGCAGTCCCCATATTTCCCCATGACAGGTCACCCTTAGCTGCATATGAGATTTTTGAGATCGCCTGCTACTATCGGCTTTGTTGTTTGAAAACTGAATCCCAACATTCCGTTCAGTCTTTCACAGTTGTACCGACTCCTCTCCTGGACTAAAATTGCTTACTGATTTCACTGCACACTGTGAGCTTCTGCCAGTTTGCTTTAGAGGCTGCAGCAAGTCAGATAGAGCCCGTCTCCCTGGCCTGCCCCTCTTCTTCATTTGATTTCAGGTATTTCAGTAGGATTGCCACCTGTCCAGTATTCACCCGGACAGTCCGGGTTTTGAATACTGTGTCCAGGTTTCATGGCAGCTGAAACCTGGACAGAAGATATCAGGCAGACAGGGGCTACCAAGATTAAGATAGGGGCTACTGGCCCCCCACTGAAAATAGTCTCAACTGTGATATTTACACATGAATGGGTGACACTACTTACATATGAATAAGCCACGACTCATTCTCCCCTATAAATTTCCGTGCGTCACTAAAGTGTTCGGGTTTCGCTGGAAGAAAAGGTGGCAACCCTATATTTCAGTCATGGGAGCTCAGCAACATACAGTATGTGGGGATTACCTAGGGTGGTCTGCATGCAAATACAGCCTGCCTAGTAACACCCACTTCTCCAGACTGACATCCACACATGAACGAATTTAAATTTTTGAAAAACGCCTCCTAAGGCCTTGTTCACACAAAATGCAGAGCAGATCCGCTCAGGTTTCTGCACACGCAGTGCGGTGGGTTGTGCCGCGTTTTTGATGCGTTCCGGGTCGTTTTTCTTTTTTTTAGTTTAACATGGGCTTTCAGTGCGTTCCAGGCATTTGCATGCGTTTTTAATGCGTTTGCATGTGTTCCAGAGCAGATCCAGAGCAGGTAAAATAGGGCTTGCTGCAGTTTTTTCACCTGCTCTGGATCTGCTCTGAAACTGCACGCTGCGATGTGAACTGGAGCAAAAAATACCATTGGAAAACATTGGACGCAGTTTTGATCCGGTCTGTAACTGCTCTGCTCTGCACCTGCTCCGCGCTTGGTGTGAACAAGGCCTAAGAACCAGCCCACTGACTGCATCAGGACTGAGAAGAGTACTAAGGCAAGGTGCTATAATTATTTCAGGGAGCCATGTTCAGCACCCTGATGGCTCCTCCCACCAGCCATGATCTCCCTGCATTGCATAGGAAGAATAAAGACCCAGTGATGACATCACTGGTTCAAAAAAAATTAAATTATACAATGAGAACATAAAGGTTTAATTGAAAACTTTCATTAGCATGTTGATTTGGGGGAGGAAACCGGGGAATGCAAAATAAAAACAGATTTCAATTCAGCTTAAGGGGTTGAAATTTGGAGCACATTTTCACTGTTTATAACTAGATTTTTCCATGACCTTCATAATGGGCTTGATAAACCTTTGGTGGCTCAGAGTGAGAGATTGAGACAGGGAAATTAAGTGTGAAATTGTCACAAAAAAAGTCACAAATTGTGACTAATTATCTATTATGTCACAGTGGCCTTAGTTTATAAGGTGTGCAGCTCCACTTTGCGCACTATATACAATCTTTTCAGTTAGTTATACAGTATATCAGACAAATTAGGATTTTTTTCTATTTTTGATGCACATTTCGCATTTAGCAGGAACATACATTGCAAACCATTGTTTATTTGTTGCACTAGTTAAAATGTTGCAGTCTGCACTATTTTCTAGTTAATTAAACAGAAATTGCAGCCTTATTGAAAAACAATTTATCATGCCAATCTGGCAAAGCCACTATAGGGACCTGTTGGGCCCCATCATTTGCCCCATCTTCCAGTGGCTTCTTTTGCAGAAAGGAAAAGTGGTATCTGGACAAGAAAAGTTAAGCCTGTGATATCTCAGTGGCCTGAACAAGAAAGCTTAGTACAGTAAAAAACGTTTGTTTTTTTTACAGATACTGCAAGGACAAGGCTAATTAAATGGTCTGCACTATAAAGGCAGCCACTTTTAATTCTCATTAACATGAAAAGAAGCGGAATTGAAATGATCTTGCAGTACAAGTCACTTGTGTAACAAAGCTCTTTGCATATCACAGATTGCCCTTAGGCAATGTGCTGGGCAGGCAACCTGAAAATCTAGTAATACATTCTAATTAATCATAATAAAAGAAAAAACTTGCCCATACGTGGGGTCAACCTTTTGCACAATTTAAATTTGTCAACAATAATGCATAAAATAATGCATGCATGGACAATTATGTACGAAGTGAGAAAAATGGGTGCCCTGTCTATGGGATGGATGGTTGCTACCAGGCGGTGCATTAAATTGTTATTACAAAAACATGTTTCAATAAGCTGATATTTTACCCTCTTTTTCGCAATGATACTTATTTTCATGGACTTTTCCCTTAGGCCTGGTTCACACCTAGGCATTTTTTTGAGCAGTAGAAAAGCACTTTTGAACACCCAACACAAGAAATTCCATGATTTTCAATGGCCCCGGTTCACACCTGAGCAGCAAAACACCTCCCCCCCCCAATAGACTTCAATGGAAATGCCAGGAAACGTGCTGCGTTTTTGCGCATTCGTCCACTGACTGCAATGTTTTGTGAGTTGCCAGTCAAAATGTGTGTGCATAAAAGTGTGTCAAACGCGCAAACAAGTGCACGCTAAACCTACATGTACAAACGCGCATAAATGATGTCATCTAGGTGTGAACCAGGCCACATTCTTCCATTCACATGTAAGTTTCATTACATGTGAATGGAAGAAGAGTAGCATATGAATAATGCATGAAAGTTCCCCCTGCCACCATTATCTGTATGACATAACTGAAGATAATCTACTTTGTAGAAGCACCTGGATATTGTTTTCTGATGTGTTATGACACATTTACAAACATTTTTCAGGAGTTTGTAACCTTTTTTCAGTTGAGGCATTGGTGTCTATATTTGCCTTGAACTGCACTTTACATTTATGTTATTTTCTGTATGAACCCTGACCTTGTATGGGAATGGGAGTGAGGGATTATGCATTTTCTATGGTGAGGTACTGCACAGGAAAGCAAAATGGTGTAAGCATGCGGCATAGTCAACAGCAGTGGCCCTTTAATGAAGGGCTGTCAGAGGTAACACTCTACTCATTAGGCCCATCAATACATCCTATTTATTGATGCTCACTTTGCCTTATAAAAAGGATGACTCTGGAAATAGCTAACCTTCCCTAGGCCCTGATTCAGAATTTGTTCCATAATATCCCTTTACCAGAGCCAGAACCTCCCTAAGTCAACATTGGTAGGAACCAGATACCATCAAATTTATGGAAGGGTGCATATGTATGATAAAATCAATTTGTTGAGTAATTTTTGAGTAGTAACAAGGCATGTGATGACACTGTGAAGTAATAATTAACCACTTGCCGTCCGCCCGTTGTAAAAAAACGGACGGACGGCACTGCAGCATTGGCGGGTTGCATTTTTTTTCTGCTCGCGCGCGCCCCCTGGCGGGCACGCACGGGCAGAAAAGACCCGACCATTGCAAACACCCGTTACCGGGTGTTTCACATATAGGTGTTTCACATATCAGTCAAAGTACCGCAGCGCTGAATACTGAAAAATGGCCTGGATGGGAAGGGGGTTTAACACCGCGGATGTCAACTGGTTAAACTGATGTCACTTATTATGTTATCTTTGTTATCCTTCTGGCACCAGGACAAAAGCGGGATTTCCAGCCAAAGCTTTATATTTTGTTTTAGATTTATTTAGAGTGAGGGAGGTTTAGAGTCTCTGTTGGGATTTTATTGCCATCTGTTTCCCCATTTGAAATATTGTCAGGGCAGAAGATGGGAAAACCTCCCCAACAGAGTCACAGATATAGATAAAAACACATTTTTAGTAGACTGGGGAAAAATCTGAACTCTTGCTATTGGTTTTATTGCTAAGTGTGCCTTAGGGTTGCCACCTTTTCTCCAAGCGAAACCCGAACACTCAAGCGACGCGCAGACATTTTTTGGAGGGAATGAGTTGCGGCTTATTCATATGTAAATATCACAGTTGAGACTATTTTCAGTGGGGGGCCAGTAGCCTCTATCTTAATTTTGGTTGCCCCTGTCTGTTTGACATCTTGTGTCCGGGTTTCTGCTGCCATGAAACCTGGACACAGCATTCAAAACCCGAACTGTCCGGGTGAATCCTGGACAGGTGGCAACCCTAGTGTGCCTTCCTGTCCAGGATACAACCACCCCCCAAGTTCTTGCCCTGGTGTCATAGGGAAAGGATCTGAAGACACCTCAAGGCTCGTATAGAGACAATTAAAGACCTGACAGAAATTTGAACTTCTCTACTCTATCCAAAGTACAGAAAAAAATGGCTGGAGTTAGGCTTTAATTCTTGCCTGAAGCAGCATCTCATTGTTGCACTGAGGGAGGGGGCAGTATGGATCCAGCAGGATCTAGACACATTGCACAGTGGCAGTGGGTGCTCTGTGAGGGAATCTGCCAAGGAGTGAAGTCCTCTCCTTCCTCTCCCTGTCATGTGATCCAACAAATGACTGGGGAAAGGAAGAAGGAGCCCGCTGCATGGCTCTCAGCTGCTGCAGAATCCCTCCAGAGCCCCAGTGCACCTCAAAGCACCCTATATTTCTCCTTTCATTGACACCAACATCTTTTTCCCCTTACTGACAACTGAAGCAAGATCATTCTCCCTCCTACTGACCACCAAATGCCAAGACATTCTTCCTTTCATTGACGACCAAATGCCAAGACATTCTTCCTCCCATTGACCAGCAAATGCCAAGACATTTTTCCTCCCATTGACCACCAACACTGGAACGTTCTTCCTTCCACTTACCAATAACAGTGGGGAATTTCTTGCCCACTGCTTGGGCATTTTTGTTTACTGACCACCAACACCTGGGCATTTTTTTAACTGACCACCAACGCTAGACCACTTTTTCCTGCTGATCACCAATACTAGGGCATTTTTTCCTACTGACCATCAACACTATGACATTTTGACTGTCCTGTGGACACAACAGGAAGTAGGGAAATCTCTCAAAAGTGAGGTAAATCTTAGACAGTTGTCACCATAACAAACCTTCTCATTGGAAGATTTTCACTTTATTTCTGTTTTGAGACAACTCACCATGTTTGATTTTCGCTCAATTTCAGGCCTAGTGATCCTTTTACATTTGTGTCCTACACACTCCCCTTCCCATTCCCTGCAACTCACAGTAGGAGGGTTTCAGCAACAGTCAAACAATCCGGAAAGCAGTGGTCAGGACTGGGTGTGGCTGGATGTTGATTGGCAAGCTACAGGCTTGTACGTAGTGGTAACAATGTTGATAGTAACGCCCAAACATATGTTTTTTCATTCTACTGCAGTGCAAACAGGCACAGTCTACATGAGAGTGGCAACTCTACTCTGAATTCAGGACCTGTATTAGGTGGACTTCACTGGCAGGAGCGTTCCACTGACAAAAACTTACCAGCAGGAGCATTGTTGCACAAGGTTTTGCTGATGAGTTGTTTGGGAACTTGAAGTGCATCATAAAGGTGAAAACCTAAAATAAAATATATAAAAATCTTATGTAAGATTACAGTTACAGTTCTATACTTTGACCTGATCTAGAAAGTTAATGATTTTTAAAATGTAGTCAAAGACGTTACGAAGACAAGCCATACATAACCACTAATTGTAAGTATTGTGTCAAAAGCAAAACCTATTTGATTGTTTTGAAGGGTTAGCACTTGAGCAATAATGAGCACTTGAGACATTCTCCTTTACGGCACATGAACCATATGGACATGTGAACACGTTGACTAAACTGTGAGGCTCAGGTTCCTAGCAGAGTCAGAGAGTTGGTCAACTACAAAAAAGTATGTTTTAAAGCCAACATTTCTTTTTCAAAAATCTAATTCAACCTTTAATCCAAAAAATCTCACATTATCCAGAAAAAGACAAGACACATAAGTGACTGATCAGTGCCTTTGCAGTACCATAATAGTAAAAACTAAACAATGTGCGACAAAGCCCAATCTAATGTCTATGTTTGTAATGTCAGGTGTATTAAACTATAGTGTGGCCTGCATTCCTAACTATATTACTTTGTATAGCTTACATAGTCATGGAACATGGAACTTCAGGCCAAATGTTTATTTTTTGGCTTAGATAATTTTTACTTATCAGGATTTTATAGCTGTCTGTGTGCTTATTGGTCCTCTGGGAAACACTCTACAAAAAAAGTTTTGGTTGTAGTTCCACTTACACATGGTTTTGGGAACATTGTGCTTACTGTAGTTTTGCCACATGCATCATTATGCAATAGTGGGATGGAATGACCACACAGTCAATGTTCATAGCCTAACATCATTCTGCTTTCAACCCCAGGCGATCATTTTTGTCAGCTCGGATATGGTGAGGTGGGAATAGAAAAATATCTTTTTATATTTGGAGAGTAAAAACTTCTCCACTTGCTGTTGACCACTAAGAGCATTCCACTCAGAACCCCTTATCAACAAGCTCTGTTACCAGCGACACAGAGTGGTTTCCAAGTTACCGGTGCTCATCAGTAATGCCCGGCTTTGTTTGGACATTGCAGTACACCTTTGGGAATCCACTTATTCCAATAGATCATTAATCTTGCTTCAGCATGGGCTTGTAAGGACACACAAAGAAAGCCAAGCAACTTCATGTAGGTGTAGCCTATTGTTAGCCGTACACATACCAATAAACTTGTTCAGTATAATGACTATTTACAAGAAGGATCCAGAAGGATTTCAGAAACAGATTTTACAAAATGAGTGGTTCACTCAGTATACAGTGTTTTCATGTAAAAAAAAAAAAGACGAAACAGCCAGTCCAGTTGAATTCGGCCAAATCTATGATTTCCTTTACTGTGTTGAGAGATGAACAACTACTGGGTGTGTGGTTAAGGGTGTCTGGTATAAACTTTGATCTCGCTCTAAATTGGTTTAAAATATTTATTTGTAAGAACATCAGATACGGCCGGCTGTACACACTAGCCTCAATTCAGGCTTTCATCTGGATTGCAATATACCGTACATCCTTGTTCAAGCCCTGAAGAAGGAAGGGTCCTTTGCCCTGAAGCGCATTGGCTGTATCTGATGTACTTTACAAATAAATGTCTGTTGAGCAATCTGACTATCATGATCAGAGAGGCAGCAGCCTAGGCCTAGAACTGGGTGCCTACCTTGAACACAAACTGGCAAACAGAATGCACGTTATTTCTTACTTATTTGAATTAATCTATATTAAAATCAGTCCAGTATTATCCCTTACCTCTCAGATATTTTCTGTGTTGAAGAATTGTTTTGAGAGATAGATAATTTGAAAGGATCAAATCTATCATCAGTCAATCATTTATTGTTACATATACGGTTAACATAAAGCTTTGTACACATGGACTTCAGCTTGTATGAAATGTAATGTGGTGCTAAAGCTACTGAATGCCTTCTAGCAGCTTGTATAACCACCTCATTACCAGCATGTTACACCCCCTTTCTTTCCAGGCCAGTTTTCATGTTTAAATGCTGTGACAGGTTGACTGATGCAATAATGTACGCAAATGAATTTATATTATTGTTGAGACAGATAGCGCTTTCTTTTGGTGGTATTTAATAACCATTGTTTTTGGGTTTTTTTAACTATATAAAGGAAAAAATATCAAAAATAATAATTATTAAAAAAAACCTGTTACCCTTACTATGTGTTATAAAACACTAGCGCATTTTAAAACATCTATTCAGAATAACTTGTTCCCCGACTGAAGAGAGGCGGGTAAAGTGACAGCCAGCACTTCTGTAATCATCTGTATTTAAAGCCGAACTCTGGGAACAAAAACATCCATATATATCTGAGTTTAACCAATAATTTTTAGTATATAAATTCTTATTTTGTAATCATTTTTATTGAACTTTCAAAACTAGATAAAACAGCAAAAGGTAAACATCAAACAGCATATCAAGAATGTATAAGAATGTTGAACATAAATATATACAGCGTGGGGAATTTATCAAAACTGGAGCAGACAAAATCTGGAGCAGTTGCCCAGGCCAACCACTCAGCATCTCTCTTCAGTTTGTTCAATTAGGATTTGAAAATGAAAGAGAGAAGCTGATTGGTTGCAATGGGCAACTGCTCCAAATTTTCTCTGCTCCAGTTTTGATAAATCCGCCTCATTGCATTTGTATAAGAATAGAAAGGCATCAAGGTTAAGGAAAAAAAGGAGATAAAAGACCTTACGGTAGCGTAGACGTAGCTAAGAAATAGAAAGTAAACAAGAAAGAAAAATAGAGAGAAAGGAAAGAAGAGAAAAAAGAAAAGTCCTGAGAGACAAAGGCCGCCTAGCAATTGATGATTGAAAAATACCAGATTTCAAATGTCAATTAGTCTGTTGTCAATATCAGAGGGAAGGTAGCGTCTAAAGCTGGCCATACACCTATAGATTATCTGCAGATTTTCTATGGTCAGATGGAAAAAGTACAACAGATTCCTCCATCTACGCTAAACTGTGTGGATGGAGGAATCTCCCACTGGGCCAAGCTTCAGGATCTTGCTACTCGGCCCCGCTGGCTCTCAAAATACCCAAACAATGCCTGCATCCAATCAGATTGTTCAGGTATTTTGACAGCCAGTGGGGCCGACTAACAAGATACTGAAGCTTGGCCCAGTGGGAGATTCCTCCATCCACACAGTTTAGCGTAGATGGAGGAATCTGTTGTACTTTTTCCATCTGACCATAGAAAATCTGCAGATAATCTATAGGTGTATGGACAGCTTAATCCAGAGATCCCAAACTTTTTTGAATTTTGGCATAAAATCAAGAAATTTAGCAGACAATTTTTCATTAGAAAATACCTTGAGGAGCCGAGTCTTAACCTCAGTAAAATGTAGGGAGCAGGAAAGCCATACTTTCTTATAAAATTGTTTGGTGGCTGTTAACACGTTTCATAAGAACAAACTGGTGTTTGGAGATCGCCTCGGGCTGCAAATTGAGTAAGGCCTCATTAGGGTAAATGATAAAGATACCCATAATATGGAGCGTAGCAAGGCATAAACTGTGAGCCAAAGATGTGGAGCAGTTGGGCAGGACCTTCATATATAAAGGACAGTGCCGTGACTGGAGCATCATCTGAAGCAAATTGGAGACCTACCCAGGAGCATACCCACCAGTCTAGTGGTAACATATTACCATCTAAGCAAAAACTTTATAGTTAGTCTCTAATGCAAGGGAACAGTCATATAAATTCCTAATTGTCCACCTAACTAGGGTCGTGGCAGGGGTGTGCCCATTGCCTAAATACATTGGGGTGAATTTATCAAAACTGGAGAAGACAGAATCTGGAGCAGTTGCCTGTGGCAACCAATCAACTTCTATGTTTAGCTTGTTCAGTTATGCTTTGAAAATTAGAGAGAGAAGCTAATTGGTTGGCATGGGCAACTGCTCCAGATTCTGCCTGCTCCAGTTTTTATTAGAATTCTATAAATCCCCCCCCATTGTGCTGGAAAGTGTCCCCCTTTCTGATTCTAGAAAGTTGGGATGTAAAAACAGCAGTGCCAACATCACTATACTGTACATAGCCTGTGGCAGAGAGCAGAGTTATGAGAGGGACCCAGCAGGCTCCACCTACTACAGGCTGCCTCCAGAAAACTACAGGAGGGGGGCGGATACAAGACCAGTCACTGAGAGAGAGAGAGCAGAAGTTCCTGGCTTAATACAGGAAGCTTCAGCACAGAGGTAAAGTCTCATGCTGGACTACTGCATGAAATTACCAACAATGAATGCACAAGCCTCTTGTATTTATACAATATTTGCTTATCCTGGAGCTCAGTTTTAACATCCCCAAACTGGAGCTTAAGGCTGCTTTAAAAGCTTCAGGAAAGTTGCTCAAAGCTTTGAAAAGCTATGCAAAAGCTTGCTGTACACACTGCTCTTATACAGGTGGATGCCCGCGTGTCCATGACCTTAGAGGTACTCTGCTAAAGCAAGAAAAGTAATGGGGTTCCCAGTGCAACACAGCTGCCAGTTATCAGCAGTGAAGGAAGTAAGGGGAATTTCCACTTTCTGTCTGATTGTAGAAATCATCTTTACATGTTATTTATCAGTTATCTTGTTTTCATGGTACAAATTACATTTTAGAGGTTTTATTTTTCCAGCAGCTGCTTGTATGACACTTATTGGAATAATCCCCTTTCATACCTGAGAATTAGGGAGCAGACCCTTTTTAATTCCCTTATTAATCTTAATATGTTACTCCAGCCAAATCTTGGAATACCCTCTGGAACATTAATATACCCGCCAAGCGCTCCCCAGGTATGAATGAGTATACTGAGCCAAATATCCCAGTACACACCTCTGCATTCCAGGGGCATTCCATGGACATGGCACTATGTTGCACCAACCCGATTCATATTGTAATAGCAAGTCTTGCTAAGCCATTCTTGTCAATGGTGCCCTGTCTGGAGACCGCAATAGCAGTGTGAGGCAGACAGAAGTTACTAAACATATGCGATGAATGCTCTCCTGCAGTCTAACAGATA